GAGGTTTAAAAAAAAAAAAAAAAAAAAAAAAAAAAAAAAAAAACACAATATTTTTCTTTACAAACCTGCACATGTAAACCCACTACACTGTGCAAAAATATACGTACGTCCAAACTGCACCCACAATGATGTGTTCCCCACTTTGCAGACCCCATACTGGAAGTCAAAATTAAAATACACCGCGTATCAGACAATGTCGACTCCATCATTAAGGGGAGTTATCAGGATGATTTGATCACAAATGACAAGCCATTTTTGTTATACAAACGGCCCTCTACATGAATTACAAAATGGTAGGGGAGCCTAATTAGTTGTAACTTCTGCGAAGATTTGTTAATATTTACTGATGGGGTGATCTGCTTGGTCTTTTTACCCTTCGGTGGGGCCTCCTTTGTTTTATGTACCCATACATATCTTCCGTAACGCCGAAACGTTTGTAACGGGGGCCGTTACCCCAAATGCGCATCCAACCGCTTCACTATTCGAGCCTCCAAGTCGTGGTACAGGTTATCCATCTGGGAAATAACAGAGAGAAAAAAAAAAAAATGTTCCATTTTGCTACCCCCCTTTTTTTTTTTCCTTACGTGTCACCTCACCATTCTTCTGACCTTTCCGATTAAGTACTCCTCAGATGCATTCCACTTCTCTTGGCCGTTCTTCCCTGTCTCGTCTTCCTGACCGCAGCTTTCCATTCTCTTAAACAACTTCTTTAAATTCTTATTTTCTTTACACTTATTCGTTTCGAAGGTGACTACTTCCTTCTGTATTTCGAATTTGTGAAAAAGATCTTCCACTTCTCTTATAAACGCATCTTCGGAGCTCTTTCCAAATATCAAGTGATTTATTTCTCCAACGTGCACTGCAGAGGAAAATGGTTGCGCGTGCTTGCGTGAAGATAAATCGTCGTTGCGGGTGAAGCAGTTGGACACGTGGACTACTTCAACGGAGGAAAGGAATCAAACAAGTTCAGCTGCTACACACGAGCTAAAACGGTTCTAGGCTGACACAGCTCAGGGTGCAGGATTACATCCGTAAAGACACATTTATTAATATGGTAAAGCATTGTGGACAACTGGTTTATGATTAGAGTCCTGCACCTCCGCCACGCGACATAGTTTGTTTTTTTTGCATGCTATTTCTCACGTACAGTTGAGCAATCTTCTAACATAATCCGCCCCAGAGGGAGTGTCCACAGTGCACATTTCATCATCGTCCTCAAAGCCAACCTCATCATCCATGTCGAGCTTCCTCAAGTCATGAACCACATCACCCTCAAAATGTATATCATGAATTGGGACAAAAATAAATTTATAAAAAAAAAAATTCCGGAAAAAAGTATTTAAGGCATATTTCATTAATAGCCTCAGAGAGGAGTAGGAAAATATTTTCACGTAACTTGGCGATCTGTTAATTGAATGATGTAACATGACCTTTTTGAATTCTGCAAACAGGTCCACAGCATGGCCTCCTCCATTTACTAATTTAAAAAATATATACTTCATAATTGACAGGTAGGTTGATATCTCCACGACAGACAAGTCTCTTCTAATGCAATACGTTAGGGTGTTATAGAAAAGATCGTGTACAATTTTTTTCATTTTTTTTCTTCTCATCAGGTTCGTACTGTACACGTCGCCAGAGTCACACTCTCTTCTAACACCATGTGATGTGACCCCATTTTGCACACCACACGAGGAATGCTCCTCTTCCAAATTTAAAACCCTGCCTTGCTCACACTTCTCCGCCTCCACCACTTCACCATTTAAACCAACTGGTAGAAAATCATCAACAACTAACCTGACCTTTTTGCCCTTTCCCTTCCTGGCTATTTCATCTTTGCTCCTAAAATGGATGTTCAATTTTTTTATGAGTGTCCTTCTCTGTGTCTTCCTGTCACTAATAATTATTATTTTCCTCATCTCATGTTTGTTTATGTCTGCGCAGGTTAGAAACAATCCTGCAGCCCATTCACCCTGCGGCCTATTCATTTGTTGCCTTCCTAAAGCACAAATGTTCATGAGTGGAGTCCTCTATGTGGACAGGGGAGAAACAGTGCTAACCGTATATAACACACAATGCAACAATGTGAACGCTGCGTAGATTGAACTTCACTTAACGTTTCCTTACCCCCAAAAAAACGGAACAACACAAAAAAAAATAAATTAAATGACAAATCTGTGCTTCGATCTGGTGGACTGTCCCCATGTGTAGAATCATGCATCCCTCCTCCGCTGCACAAAAAAACGCATGTGAATAGGGAACATATTTTTGCTAATTCTCATCTTCACCGTTATTTGGTTTTATTTTACTTCCCCCAAATGCAAAGTCCAACCTTTTTGCAGACCCGTGTGCTAAGCCTCACAAATGGGCTCTCCTGAACCGATCACGTATAAAGCACCCCACACGTGCTCGCCAATTGTATGCGAGTGTTATTATACATTACTTCAATACGTGGTGATTAAAATTGATACATTTGCTGCACCACGCGAGGTTTAAAAAAAAAAAAAAAAAAAAAAGACACGTCAAGCAATTTTAAAGAAAAATAAATGCCACGTGCGATGTCGCCAAACACAGTGCTACCACGTAAACACCAATATGAGGATATGTCCTCAAAAAAGAGAGTTCAATTAAAGGGTTTTCAAATGGGTAAGTAAAAAAAAAAAAAATCGACGAAGAAAAATGCACATTAACAAAGGATGAAGGGGGGGGGTGGAAAATTCTTACACCACGCATTTAAATGAACAAGCTTAATGGTTAAAAAAAGTGGATTGCGGTTGGCATGTGAGCAATACACAGGAACAAACGTAGTGTAGGCGAAGTGTGCAACGTGCAGACGTCACCATGTGTCGTACTCAAGAACGCACCCGCAGATGCCTCTCCGCACACACACATACGTATGTTCGCACAAAACAGTACAAAGGGGGGAGAGGAGGGGGGTAAAGCGTCCCTGACTACGTCAATGCCATCATCACTTTCCGCGTCGTTCAATAATGAGTACCTTTATGGAGGCTTAAAAAAATGTCCTCTTCTTTTTATCAACTTGGTTAAAACATAGTGACATGAGGGACACATGGGTCCTTCCCGCAATTAACATTTGTACATATATGTTGTACAACACTGGGGAGAACATTTTCCACCATGGGTTCACAAAAAAGGGGACCACCTTCTGCGATTTTCCCCTGGACGCATTTTATTATAACTCCTCCCAACGTTCGTACACACGTCACAGTCTACACAGGAAGGATAGAAATAAAACTGTACACAAAAAAAAAGGATGACATGTGCATGTATCCCTCGAGATGCATTTACAGAGTGAATATGCTACCTGTCCCCATAACAGCTGTTACACCCATGGTGTCTTCCTCCAGGTCAGTCGTCCCCGTAACCATTGTCCATATTCATGTGGGAACCCGCTTGCTCATGATCCCCTCTGTGTTCTCCCCCGTTCGGAAAGTAGGCGCCCCTTTCATTTCCCCTATCCCGGCTTCTGTGCCTGTGCTTGTCATGCTCGCGGTTGTGACTATAACTGTGATCGCGCTTGTGGTGGCGCTCCCGCTCATGGTCCCTGTCTCTGTGCCTGTCCCTATCCCTATCTCTATCCCGATCGCGCCTGTCTCTGTCTCTATGTCTGTCCCTGTCCCTGTCCCGATCGCGGCTGTCCCTGCGCCTGTGCTTGTGCCTGTGGCGATCGTGCGACTCACTGCGCTTACTTCTATGGTGGCGATCCCGCTTGGAGCTCCTGTGCTCGTCCCTCTTATGGCGTCTGTGACCCCTCGATGCGTCATTCAAATCATCACTGTCGTCATCGTTCCGCTCATTATACAGCGCCACATTCTTGTAAATCTCTTCTACCCTCTTTTTGTCATTTCTGTACTTATCCTTGTTAATAAGAGCTGTCCAATTAATATTATGAGTAATTTGTTTCCTTTCATCTGATCCTCTTGGAGGTCCTTTTCCACCACCCAGTCGTCTAGGTACCCAATTCTTCACAGTCCTCCCTCTTTCCACATCTACCAGAATTCTTCTATTGTCTATCTTCTTCCCATCAGCTAAATTATATGCATCGTTAAAACTCTTTGTGTGTTCAAATTCTATGAACCCATATCCTTTGGGTTTCAAATTCTTATCAAATATTATTTTCACTTTTTTTATCTTCCCGTACACTTCAAATTCTTTTTTTAATTTTTTTTCATTTACATCGTATGAGAGTCGTCCAATAAAAATTGTTTTGTTCGGGTCTTCTGTCAAATCAGGATTTTTAAATGGGTCATAGTGTTTTCTCATTTCCTTTAGCATTAATTCATTGTAGGTTATTTTTTCTTTTTTTTTTCTTTCCTTTCTTTCTTTAGGATTTTCCAACTTTATTTTTGGGGGCGGTTCTTTATCCTCGAACAGATTCACATACTCGGAAATGCCGCTGTACGCTTCATGCTTCTTTTTCTGAATGGGCTTGTGAAAAGTGAGTGGCGGCCTCGCTTGGAACAGGGTTAAGATGTGTGGTGGCATCCCAATGGCCGACATTTTTTTTGTTGTTGTTCTTACACCTGTATATTATATGCCTGCGCGCGTGCGTTGGTTAGGGGGGGGAGGGGGGTACAGCAGAAGTGTACCACGCGGAAAACTCAATCAATCGAGGTACAAAAAAAAACACAGCTTCGTACCGCTAAGAAGTGGTGACACCTCCGTTTAAGCAGCGTCTTTTCCGCTCCCCCCCCTTTTTGGGGCCAACTCGGCAGTATTATATTTCTATCCCTTTTTTTTTTTTTTTTCTTCTTCCAATTTTGACATTAAGAAAAGGGGAATAATCTTCATCTGTGACAACTGCTACAAGGGTACCATGCGTAGTACATGCGGGTAGTAAAAATATTTTTGCCTAGTGTCCCTTTATTTGTTTGCTTCACTCCTCATGAAAACATATTTGGTGATTGGGCGTCAAGCGCTGATAATTTCCAGCGTCGTCCTGCTGCGGAGAGGATTGGGAGAAGGCGCCAGTGTTCTGTGTTCCGTTTCTTCTATACATATATTGTGCTCTTTATGCAGCTTTATTCTTTATTTCTCACTTTTACTTTTTTTTTGTTCGCATTCACATAGGCACAAATCACTCTTTCAACGATTTGGGGCAAAGGCTTCCCGGAGCGCATATTTTTTTCACCGCCTTAAATTCGGCCTACGTTTCCCACTGCGCACAACTGCTATATGCTTATTACCCTCTTACAAGCTGCACCACGTGCAATTTTACGATGCTCTGCTTCTTTTCTTCCTCTTCTACTATATGTAACATCGCACGTGCTATCGGTATTCTTTTGACTTCCACTACAATATAATATATAAGATTGGGTAGTGTTGTTGCCGCCACCCAGCGGAAAGGTCCGTTATCTTTTTTTTTTTTTTTTTTTTTTTTTGGTGCCCCTCTTGCGCATTATATATTCTACGCAAGAATCTGCAGCGGAACCCCGTTTTTTTTGTTTTTTTTTTTTTTTGTTCCCCTTTTATTTATTTATTTTTTTTTTTTCCAAGGCACACGCACTGTGGCAACTCGTATTTTTCTTTTTCTTTCTTTTCCTCTCCTTTCTTCTCTCAGGGCAACAACCCCTACCGCCTCTCCATTCCGTTCGTTTAACCGCAAAAGGGATAAACCCAAACGCAGCCCTCCACACACACTCTGGAAAGAAAAAAAGGTTAAAGAGAAAAATGGAACGAACTCCAAGAAAGTACCCCCATGAGTGCCGCGTGATCGATCCCACTGTGGGGAAAGCTCACGTACATACGTAACAGATCTGGCATTTTTTTGTGCTCCATATATATACACAAATGAACGAAGCGCAAGAAAATTCATATGTCCGTCAAACCCATTTCGTATATGCCCCCACATTTATGGCCCCTCCCCTTCGAATGTCTGTCATGTTTACTCCTGCAGGTTTTTTCCTAACACACTCGAACCAGAACGAACTTGCAACCTGTGTTCACAAATCAGCCGCAGAATAATAAGAGCATACAGCGGGGTGTACACCGAGCCTGTTTAACCTGCGTGCATGTATCTCAGCACTGCTTGAGTAAGAAGAGAGGGGCACAGACACAGGGTGGCCGCGCGCCTGTACCTTTACCATCGACAACCCCGTGTGCATTTAGCAGTCATTAGCCGATGTGCAGTTTGCCCCACCCCCCCCCTGTAGGTCCACCCAACCCAGTCCTCTCCCCCTCATGCAAAATGAAAAATGACAAAATAAAATTAGTGAGCTTCGAGGGGGATGAATTCATAGTCGATAAATACACGGCCTCCATGTCGACGGTCATACTTAATATACTAGAAGGTACGTGCATTCATGTGTTAGAGTAGGATTGGCAGTGAGCGTATCTCCACCTATTTGCGGCCGCGTCTGCTCCGTCTAGCTGGCCATCTAATCGGTTACCAAATCGGTGCTTCTCCCCCTCTCGCAGTAATGACGGCCGAGGAAGACACCATACCACTCCCAAACATAAAAACGCCGATTCTAAAAAAAATAATCGAATACATGGAGTACCACATTAACAACCCTGCGGACGAAATCCCCAAGCCCCTCATCACCTCCAACCTGCAGGACGTAAGGAACGAAATATCATTACGTGTCCCCAACAAAAGGGGTCCCCGCGTCTGTCCATGTGTCCATAATGTCCTGTCAACCATCACATGTGCACCACTCCATGCGCACGTGCAAAACAGCTTGCGGTCCGAACTTATAACGTAAAACGCCCAAATGTAGGTTGTGTCAACTTGGGATTACGATTTTGTAAACACGGATAAGGAAACCCTGTACGAATTGATAGAGGTGAGAAAAAAAAAAAAAAAAAAAAATGCGAGTGTTACAACAATGGTAATCATGCCAGGAGGGCAGAGCCAATTTAACTACAACATTTTACCAACCCCGTTGATCCTTCCCTCATACTGTTTATATACACGTAGTTGCCTACACGTGCATTTCTTTAACATGCACGAATGTTTTTTTTTTTTTTTTTTTTTTTGTGCCCATTTTTAGGCGTCCAACTACCTCGATATAAAACCGCTGCTAGACTTAACCTGTGGAAAAATTGCCTCCATGATGAAGGACAAAACTACGGAAGAAATTCGAGCGGAGTTTGACATCGTCAACGACTTCACCAGAGAGGAAGAAAAACAGGTAGGGTTCATTTTTCAATGAAGGGTGCAAAAGTAGCTTAAGTGCCAAATGTGCGCCTATACCTAATTTAGACCCTTTACCCTCTTTACGGGGGCCAATCACCCATTCTATATTTTCCCACCTGAGCATACTTCAAACGTTCGTGATTGCCCCACGTTTCATCTCCCCCTTGTAGATACGGGAAGAAAACAGATGGTGCGGTGACATATGAACAGGACACACGAAGATGAACGAATGACACAACGTGTGCATGTGCACTTTGCCATTGGCCCTCCCTGATCCACAAAGTGTTTGAAGAAAATAACAGGTAAAGGGAAGAAACAGGAGAGGCCAAACGAGGACAGAAAACAAGCACACCAATAACACCATGCCAAACACACATAAATTAAAACATATTAGATTACGCCATCCGAGCCGTGGACCCCCTTTTGCACACGCAATACCAACGTATGTATGACTGCATTTCATTTTTAAAAGGACCCAACTCCCCCCTCGTCCTTCACTTCTACCAATTGTGCAGTCCAATGTTGTCATGCGCTTATTGTTCTTGTTGTATAGTAGTAACATTTTTTTTTTTTTTTTTTTTTTTTATTCCTCCACCATACTAGTGCTGGTGGCAATTACCAGCCATTGGTAGGACCATTGTGTTTTATCAAATGAAACACGATTCATGTCGCGCAAATAAAAAAATAAAAAATCCTATTGAAACAAATGGAAGAAAGCCCGATTCTTCTTTGTGTGTCATCCCAGTTCTCACCTGTGGCGTAGCATTGAATCGTTAAAACGGGGTCGGGCACTTACTTCCATTGTATTGGAGAGGAAGGAACAGGTGGGTGCGTGCGTATGCATGGAGATCTTTTACACCTCAACTAAGTGGTCAGCTGATAAGAAGCTGCTGGTGAAAGATTCACCTTTGCGTGATGCAAATGTATGTAGCTGCCCTTATAACAAAGCCCGGAAAAAGGGATCACCACGGAGCTACCTAAGACATGCTGCCAAGAGTAGTGGTGTAAAGTATAAAATATTTGCGGAGGGAAAAACCGCTCCCATTGACACACACAAAAACAAAAAAAAAAAACTAGCCAGCCCGCCGTGACTTAATGTGCAAAACGTCGACTGAACCTAAACACGTTACATTCACCGACTAAGGGACACATCCTTGTATAAGACCGCGCACACCTGTGCTACCATACATATTGCTACAACTTTTTATATTTTTTAAAGAGTGGTAAAATATTCGTGCATGCATAAAAGCGTACACGCGCATCGAGGTAGTTTTTACAGCTATATATATACACACCTTAACGTGTGCATGTGAAAACGTGTATATACATTTGCGTGGCCATATGCCACTGTGCTCACTCCATTTTGAATCCTTAAAAATTAATTCCCCTCCCGCGCACGCATAACGAGGGTGTATGTTAAATGTGGGCTTGACTGTCCTCGGCGTGCTCGGGGAACATATTGAGTACACAAGCGCATTTCTACACGTGGGCCGATACGCACACGTAACGCAATTGTATAGGAAAAAAAATTAAAAAATAAATCCTGAAAAATATTAAAACATAAGAATTAACATGGGAGGCCATTTGTAAGACCTAAATATGCATATAAAACATGTTAAGAAAAAAAAAAAAAAAAAAAAAAAAAAAAAAACAAAGCTCAAAAAAAAAGGAAAGAATAACGCGGGACAGTTATGCATAGCGCTTGTG